CTATATCAAATAAAGTTTATTATTATAATATTTATTATATGTATGCGCGCTCGTGTTGGTCATTGAGAATTTCTGGGGTTCCTATGAGATGATGACTTGTAGGTGGTACTTGGATGCTTTGGTTGGATTAGGGGTGGTACTTGGTCCAAAAAGTTTAAGAATCACTGGCTTAAAGAATATAGTTCAGGTCTTACCCTGCTTTTGGAAGAACAACATACAGATAGACGTTGTTGGTCTGATGTAGGTTTTTAGCTGGCTTCTGTTCCCAATACACATCCTCAGTACAGACTCACTGTCACAGACAAATTCACTGTCACGGATGTTGGAAGGGCATGCCGTGGAATGACAAGGAGAGACGTATAGACCCTGTGCTTAGTGGCAAAAGGGGCAACACGGAGGTTAGCCCAGGCTCTGGGGGTCGGACCATTTCGGTATAGAGACCTGTGCCCTCAGGCTATGGATGTGGGGCGACCTGGTACTAGGTGGGTCTCAGGACATCCATACCCTCAATGCTGAGCCAGGAGCAGAGCAGACCCAGGAAGTAAATAGGCTACACAACAAGACACAACAAGACATGAATAATCACAGGGAACTAGGGACAGGACAGAAGAGCAGCGCCCTCTAGGAGTACAGGGCGTGACTCTGGTGCTGTTCTTCCTTCATACTGTATACCTGGTGATGCATAAAACCATACTGGGAACTGCAGGAGTAACTACCTGAAACATGGCTAGGAAGGATAAAAATAAAAGGAATGAACACAATTATTTTTTACATTAAGAACAGAAGATGTCATAGTGTTAGCCATTATTAAATTGGACAACCGAAGTTAGAGGATCCAAGCAGTTTAAGACGTATGCAGATTAAATTACAAAATAACAATTCAAAGATTTAAACAACAGTCGTAAGCTACAGACCACCTACAGTGAATACGCACACAAGTAGGTTACTGATTGATGATATCAGGACACAGTGTAGCCAAGTTAATGTTCTCTTACTGGGAGATACAGAATCTGAAAGGGATATTGATGAAAGGATTGATAATCGCTTCTTAACCAGGATGCATAGTAATTAAAAGAACATACAGTACTATAAGACAGGTTAGAAATAAGAGGAAGTCATTTTGTTTATCATGAATAGACATGATAGAGGCAATTCTGATTTATACTTTCAATCTCTAAAACATGAGTCAAAGCCTAGGGTTTATAATTTTCAAACAGCAAACTACAGTATAAAGGCATGAGACAGATCTTACAGGGAGTGAACTAAGAACAGATGGATACAGAGTCAATAGAAGAAGGTTGGTTACACTTCAAAAACATGATATCAAAGACTCGGAATTAATTCATGCCTTCAACCATCAATTTGAAATCTAAAATATGGTCTAATGCTTTAATGGAGATGTTAAGAATAAAATAGAAGAAAGATGCTTTGCAGACTGCAAAAGGGCCCAAGATTCAGTGACAGAAAAGCTTCAGGCACTGCTGAAAGAAGGTTCGATAGGGGCTGGGGCAGATAACAACCCACAAATTGCACGCAAATATGGGGAGGACATACTGTACAAACCCCATACAAATAGCACCCCAGAAATTAGGCCCAGTACCCCTGCACTGCGAGGCAGCAATGCTAACCACTGCTCACTGTGCCGCTCAATTCAAGGAAATTAGAATCTTGTTCTTAGACCCATAGATACAATATTTCACCATTCAATTAGAATGGGAGCAGTACCTACAGATTAAAAGCATTTCAGTTTTAAATGCACCTCTCCCAGTTGTTTGCAAATTTTGATTCTGACTGACTTTATCAAGGCTTTTGAGCATATTGAATACTTGACTCAGGTTTCTTCCTTGTTAAAGACTAAAAAGATTCTGTATAAACTATGTTAGAAACTGCATAATTAACAAGGATTCCTTTGTGTTTGATGTCCTCAGATTTGCTGGTGGGAGTAAGGTGCTTATACTGTATGTACTGTAAATGAGATACTGTGCACTGTGATTGTAGTGGTGATCATCACCCTGGTACACAAAGCCATATTGAAATACAGCTGTTAAACATTTAGCTAGTGTAGTGTGTGGGGTCAGGTCCAGGATTTAAACTGCCAATTCCTGCCTCTAACTGAGCACCAGACCCACGCAGCCCAAACAAGAGCTAAATCCTCTGTGCTGAAAGTTAAGTCCCTTGTTGCAGAGATTTTAAAAGCTCTTTTGGGAGTCCTGCAGAGTAATGCTGCTAGCTCATCTTACTTTGCAATTTGTTTAGTTAGCCAATCACATACATAGTTTGCAAGTAATGTAGTAAGTAGAAACACAGCAGTTTCTTGAGAGGCATTCAATGTATCTGTAGCCTATGGCCACCCAGACATGTATACCTCTCTGGTATTGTTCATGTTTATGCCATGCACACAATTTCCCATAAAGCAAGCCATTCCCTGCATTTCTTCAAAATTTGTTTTGTTCTGGATAAGTTGTGTTTTAAACTCAAGGATCTTAACTTGGTAGTATAAAACAATTTAAGTATTTAACTTAAGTAAGTTTTCAGTTTAAAGATTTTTCTTCCAACCTTGTTAAAGGATATGACTCCTTACTGTTGCCAATCCATCCACTTTCTAATGGCTTCTTCCAGTGCAGGGTCACAGGGGAGCTGGAGCCTATCCCAGCAGGCGAGGGGCACAAAGCAGGGTACACCCTGGTCTGGAAGCCAGTCCATTACAGGGCACACACAGATGCAAACACAGACAGACACACACTGACACCTAGGACCAAATTTCTGGAAACTGGAGCTCCCAGAGGAAACCCACTTATTTTTTCTAAGATTTAACTTGTTGCTGCTCCAGCTGTTCTGTGTTTATGTTTTTGGTGTTGCCTTAATGTCTTTGTATTGGGGCACACAGGCAAATAAGCATCTCATTGAAGGTGACAATAAACCAAACTGAACATGGGGAGAACAGGCAAACTCCATGAAGATACTGGAGGAGCCCAGGCCTGGAACTGAATTCAGGGCCCTCGTGGTGTGAATCAGCAATGCTTAGTGTTGCCAGTATTTTAGAAAACCCCCTTCTTTGACTACGTTGTCATCTTATTTATGTTTGTTGTTCACTGTATAGTCCAGGTGTGACTTAGTTACCAAACAAACAACACAGATCGAGAAATCCCAAATGGATACATAAAAAAGTAGTAGCTTTGCTAGAAATGTATTCACACTGACAGTGTCTTCTGACAACAGATGCAGTCCTCAGATAAACACAGAAACAAT